ACTGTTGCAGCAAAATTTTAAAGAGTTTTGACTGACAATCGACATTCCCATAGATTAATCAATACTTAGACATAAAATGATACAAATGTAGAAGAAGATGCTGCAAGTCGCTAGTATTAGATGATGAAATTCCATTCTTATGTTGCTCTATTTATTTTGGTGACAGGAAGATAGATAAACTCTTAACAAAGATTTCTCTCAATTGTTTATAATATCATATGCTTTATGGTAATACAGTTAAATTGGGTGAGGATAAGATCAGTTGTACTACATTCGAGTGAGTCTTTGATTCTACTCAACCTATATATTCCATGAGACAAATGAATTGAGTATTAATATCACAACAAAGAAAGACGAACGCTCGAATACAACTAGTTTTATCGTTTTGAACACATCATTTTAGAGTTGGTCTCGCTTGCATACTCTTACATGTCGATAAAATAAAAGAATCAGTCACAAATCATGGCAACATAAATAGTAATCTTTACTAATACTGTCTCAGGTTTCTTCATCATGTCATATGAATCGATACCTAAAAAGTTTCTATCGTTTCTCTAAAATAATGTTTGTTTTACCAAACAAAGTCAAATTTGAGCGTGACCAAGTATAAAAACATAAATTGAGCTAAGATTGAGTCTATTAGTGTCCAATATAGATGAGACTCATGTTTCATTCAGTCTTCATATTTCGCTATTCATGCGAGCAGATTTCTTCTTCTGTCTAACTACTTAGGCACCCTGAGATTTTTATTATTACTTATTAGAGAACATTGTTAGTTTACTTTTTTAACGGGCGCATTTTGTTAGAATATTTTTACTTGCAGTATCAAAGCATCACATCACGTTGAATTAGGAATATTCTTGTAATTGTTTATATTGATTTGTTTTTTGCTAGCCGTAAATGTCAACAACAGAATGAAATTGAATCATAAAAGCAAACGTCTGACGATTAATTTTTGTTTTTCATGTTAATCTATAGCACAACAGCGCCATTTTCTGTAAAATTTAATAAATATAAAATAAAAACTTCGTGCCGAATCAATTTCTAAAATTTATATTCAGTATATAAGTCTTCTAACTTTCAAACAATATGCTCCGAAAACATTTAAAATATCTTTTGTATCTACAAAATGTTCAGACTGCAAATCCATTTTAAGTTTTAAAAATTTCTTTATAAGCCGACCTGATCCGAGGTTAACTGTTTTTTTCCTGACCTGGCTCAATTTGATTTAGCCCGAAGTCTGCCTCGAGCCGAACCGAGTCGAACACTGATACACAGTACGAAGTGTGCATGTCTTTCTATTGCCAGTCTAGTTAACATCAAATCTTTGACTTAATTAATGATAAAAATTATAAATACATAATCTTAAGGCATAAAATATTCTTATTTTAATGATAAAAATAGCAAACGTATATTATATTTTAAGAATACTTATTTTATATTAAAAAAAGGAAACGTCAATAAAGCAAATAATAATTCAAAGCGATGACATATAAAGTTTGCATGAATGACACCGGAAATAATGTTTTCTTCCCACTCTTTTTGTTTTGACAGTACAATCAATGATATTCAAGAATAAGAAAGAAAAAAATATTTTTTTGGTATTCTTTATAACATCTAAATTAAGTTTTATTAGAGAATTCAGAATGATAGAGAAATATCACTCGATCAAGTGACTTTTTCTTGCAAGAAAAAGATATAGACATGTACTACGTGATCTTGTACAAAATGACTCATCTTGATTAACTGAAAGTGAATAAATTAAACTCTCATTTTGTAACTATCCCATAACTTTTTTGACTAATATATTAAACTATCGATAAATTAATCTACGATTTAACATAAAATAAATATTCTTGTGATAATAACAGCAGAATAATGATTACTCATGCTAATGAATACTAACATCCTCCATTGTAGTTAATCAAAGAACCATTTCATTATGCTACATTGCCTTTTAACTATATTTGTATAGCATAATATTCATGCTCCACATTCTCTAAAACAAACTGTTATTATACCGTCTGCTTCCTTTCTCATTTTCTGATTTTCTTTTAATGAGGACAAATTTAAATATCATTCGAGAGAACAATTTGTGAATGACTTAATTCATGAAGCAGAAAAAAATGTTCGAGAATGTTTAGAAGCAGTAGTAAAGAAAATTTAAATTGATTTTTATTAAGGCTAGATTATCCTTAAATTAGATGAATCCAAGTTAATATTTACTTAAACAATTTATTGATATTAATTATCAAATGTTAGATCGTTTTGATCAAGAAGAAAAAAAAGAAATAAAATGTACATGTTTGCTGAAGTGTGTAGAATTATTTTTAAATTTTATAATCATTTTTAACAATGATGTATATATCTTCAATGATTTCAAACAAAACTTATTCTCCAGTTTTTCTTTTCATTATATATAATGATAAAGGTAGTACACGATCGTCGAATGTCGGTTATTCACAAGTATTAAGAGAATTTTTTCTGTTTTATTTAAAATAACTTTTATTGATAGCTAACTAATGAAAAAGATCTTGAAAATATTCTTTCTCTTATTGGCAAATTTATTCAACCTCACTATCAAGTCTTCATTGATGTGGCAAATGCAACAAATTTACATGTCGAAACATCCGAAGAAGAAGTTTGAGACCATGTTGGTTTTTCTCTATATAATCATAATGAATGAATCACAAGAAAATAATGTTATGGAAAAATTCTCGATAGAGTAGTTGAATAAATACTCAATTTACGAATTGAAAAGACTCAAAGATTTTGAACTCATAGAGATCTATAGATTTTAATTATTCTTGTATAGTTTGTAAGTAGACAAATTCAATATCTATTTGTGTTCAGAATGCTTATATGAATAAGTTTATCACGATAGATTATTGCTTCAAACATAATGAATTTATATTAAATATTGAAGTCGGCTATTCATATTTACATCATGAATTACAAATGCAATTGTAAAGACAATATGTAAGATGTTTCAATAACATGTATGAAAAGATAAAATGATAGTTTTAAAGTTTGAAATTTATAAGATTGTCTGTAATAATTATGTTAATGATGAGATTTTCTTATTTTATTAGTGTTTAACTATGATTCTGTTTTGTATAATAACAATGAAAGCAATATTTGCTTTTTATCAAAAGGACAAACATATGAAAAATGCAATTAAATACTCAATTTAGGTTCCGATCACTCCTTTTCGTCTGTCATTTAAACACATACAGGATGTTTCATAAGTCTTTTAAGACACAACAAAAATAGTTTATATGTAGTCAGAGAATAAACTATAACCGAATGTTTATTATACAAGTCTTGAGTATGTTTGTCAATCTTTCAAATTATATATTATTTAATAATATCTACTCTTTTAATGGTATAAGTGTAACTACGAGAATGTCAGGAGAAATTTTTCGAAATCAATCAACAAGATATTTCATTGACAAAAATGAAAAAACACTTTAATATTAATCTGATTACAGAAAAATATCATTTAACTATCACATATTCGTGGTCTATCACCTTTTATTAATTGGTCAAGTCTCATAGAAGTTTTATCAATCATTACAAATAATTTTTTTCACTCTTTTTTTCAATCTAATTTTTATTTGTTTAAAACTTGAAAATAGTTCTTCTCGTATTTTTCGTTTTAATATTTTCCGTACATTTTCAATAGGTTATACATCACCAAATTTAATGTTATCTTCTTCAAATAAAACTTCACTATTAAATAATTTATCCATAGTTCAAAATACAATCATTATTTTTTGTATTTTATTCTGCGTATTATGTTTTCATATATTTTTACCTATTTCAATCTGGTTATAGAGTGCATAGCTTTACTAAACATATAAATAGTGAACTGTTATGAGCGTTGAATAAAATATATATAATTATTGTTTCCTACTACACTATGTTTTATGTAGCATTGTTCCGCACTTTATTAAAAAATTTTTAAAAAAACTACCCTGGTCGATTGCGCGAAATCTATCCGCACATTCTCATGGTCATATTTTATTATTAGAAAATAAGGTATTATCAAATAATATGTCATTTTGAAAAGCTGACATGAGTACTCAAGGCTCATATAAAAATATTCGGCTAGAAGTTATTTCCTGACTGAATATAAAATAATTTTGTTGCGCCTCAAGACTTCTGAAACATGATATATAAAAAGACAAAGAATACTACACTTTCATACGTTCCAATGCTATAAACAACTTTTTTCTAAAGGAGATCTTTGATGATTTTGAAGGACTAATTTTTAATGATGGTTTCACGCATGCATTCTTGTCTTTATTTGATTATATATGTTTTTTCTGAATGAAAATAAAAAAAAATGAATGATCAAAAGTTTGATTGAATATTTATATGTATGTCTCGATGTCTATCAATATGAATAATTTCTTTGTACATATATGCATACATAATATCAGAAACACAGAATTTCTTGTACGAAAAAGAAAGCAGCAAATCTCAAAACTTCAAATTTCTTCAGCTACATTGGTCTTGTTGGAATAATAATTTGATAATTATTTAAATTGATTTTAGAATTCTTTTTTTTTTTAACAAGTTTCATAAAATACAATACTTTTTGTACATTATTTTTGATGATTGCTAAGAGACATATATATGTAAATATAATTAGGGTTTTGCCTTCTATTGAAAATGTTATGCATATCTAAATCAATAATATTTGTTGAAAATCTTTGTTCTGTAATATGAACACTATGAGATTGTCATATATTATTCAACAGCTATTTTCCATGATTAAATAGCATTACAAAGCACAAGATCATTTAACATATATATTTCTTTATTTTATTGAGAAGTTTCTCTATGAAAAATGTCGTTTTACATTAAAAGAAAAGTACTTTTTAGCAAATCATTGTTAAATATACATTTATTTCATATTTCTATTAATAAAAAAATCAAGAATTGTATTTATTCGAATGCATTATTTGTATTATTATTGATAAGATAGGAAATAGTTATAAATTATTTGGTCCTACTGCTACGGATCGATGAAAAGTTCGTTGAATGGTTGTCCAAAATTGCAGAGCGCTAATATGCTGAGCTCGTTGTTTCCATTTTTGAACAGTAATATGAAATTTTGCTCGAAGTTCTGGTAATGAAACAGCACATATAAAAGGAAGAAAAATAATGACAAAATAAAAGAGATATATGCTAGTATCATAATAATCATGAGCAAAACTGCGTGATAAACCTATTGTATATGCAGTATAGAGAAGCATAGGTACAAAATAAAGACAAAAAAATATTGAAGATATTGATAACATTTGTACAGTCATTTTTCGATAGTTTCTCCAATGAATTCTTTGATGTAATCGATGTTTTTGATATAAAACACGAAAAATAAGTGCTGCATTAAAAATAACAATAATTAAAGTAGGTAAAATATTATTTGCTACACTATCCCACACAGCAATAATCCGTGGATGAAATAAACCATCATTGAATCCACATTGAGTTTCTGAATAATTAAATGTATGTTCCCATGAGAAAATAAAGAAAGCCATTGTATAAAATACAAATGAATAAATAATTAGGCTGATTAATGGAAAATAATGAATAAAAAAAAGTTTGTTTCTTGTTATTAACCATTTATCATGAAAAATGAGAATATGACGTTCAATTGATGCCCAAGCAACAATACTTGATATTAAAAGAAAACCAATATGATCAATAAAATGCCAAATCATACAAAAAGTTTCTGTTAATAACAACACATGACCAGTACCATAATTATAAACAAGCCAAAATATGTCCGTACATTCAAAGAGTAAACAAAAGAAAAGTATAACAATAATTGAATGATTGTGTAAACCTTGACGAAGTGTTCGATCGAAGAGAAAATGATAGAGATCAAAAATACTGCACATTATTGAAGGAACTAGAAAAATAAGAAGAAACCAAAATCGAGCAGTTTCATCCATAGTCATTGCGAAATATGTCGTGCGATTGTCAGTCTAAAATATGTATTTAATGTTGTTTTTTTTTTGAACTATTACAATTAAGTATAATGAAATTTTTGTCAACTCACCGGAAGTATAATAAGAGAATTTGTGCCAACCTTGATATCATACATTATGATTAGTATTTTTATAAATGCGAAAGAAATTAGAATTGAAAATTAGGAATAATGAGCAATAGTAATAGTAAGTTTATATAACTTTTTTAATCTTCAACAAATAACTGCAAAAGAAAAAAGAAATAAAGCATAGATAAATGAAAGAATAAAGAACCGTCAAAAATGATTCAAGAAGGAAAGAAAAGTGCAAAAAAACTTGTCAGAATATAAACTTAACTGTAGGATCAAACTGAATGCATCTATTTTGAGGAATTTTTTTTTATAGAGTTCGCATTTTTCTGCGAATAAGGCTTTTTTTCTGTCTTTTCATCTCATATTTAATAGTGCAAGTTATTTCAAATATTTGCGTCTTTTTTATGTATAAATACAGCACAATAGTACATGGCAGAAGTGCGTGTCGCAAATACATACATCGTAACACTATTTGTTAAGCCTTTAAGTCATACATGCGAGATTATATATCACTTTGATCCTTGCCGACATTAACGTTTGAGGTTTTTCCGTGTTAATGCAGTATATAAAGTTTTTATAGAAATTCTAGAATGTCCTCTGCGTATATTCTTAAAATAATTCGAAATTTCCCAATTCTGTATCTCGATAGAAAAAGATTGTATTTCCTACTATAAGCAAGGTAGCAATTTTACGTTGATATGTAAAATTTTCCTATACTATAATGCAAAATCTGATTGATGCCACCATTTAGTTTTATACTTGACATGTTATCTTTTATTCTTCGTTACAATAGATGTACTCTTCTAGAAACATTTACTATTCGCTAAGAAAAACTTGCTCAATGCTTTTAATTTTCACAGAGTTGTCAGGCATTTTTGTTCATTTGCCATTGAAAACTATCGTATGTTCATAATGTATACTAGCTTTGAATACCGTTCTTATGTAAGTTGATTGTCAAGCAATAAAGAAGTTCGTCACGTGAAACAAATAATGTATGCTTTAATTTTGTCTATGGAAAAGATAACTCTTGTATATTCAAGTATATTTGCTATAAGCGTTTCGTTTATTGTCCTTTCTTGTCTTTTTCTTTGAATACATACGCCATATGAAGTCTGTGCATATGCAAACTGTCCCATGAAATACAAACATGCATGACACATATCCTAATGATCCATCTATGAACATAAAATGTGATTGCACTGTTTACATGTTGTTTTTGATAATTGTCAACGAATGAAAAGTGTATAAGACTATTTAAGTGTAGAATTTGTTTTGGCCCTCGAAATCACAAGTAAATTAACAATTTATCATGATACATTGAAATAATAATCGTGCACTAAAACGACATAAATCGTCGATTTTGTTTTTCAATGTTTCAAACGATTTTTATAATAAATCGGAATTTTATGATTGATTATTATCCTTCATTATATTCATAGTAAAAGTGATTTTGTTCATGTAACCACAATTTCTGCTGTTATACTGAGAAATTCCTAATACTAATTTAAATTCAAGAATATTTTTATGGTGAAGCTAATTGCTAACATTATTGTACATGAATGAAGTCTGCATCATAGATAAAAAATATCAATACGACATACAGTTTTTTATCGTTGAATGAGAACACAATCGAAAAGGACAAACAAGATAAATAAAAATAAATATTCGTATATATAAATTGATGTTTCGAATTAAGTTTTTTCTCCGAAATCACTCTACATATTGTTGTTTTTGTTAATAAATTAAATACTTAAAGTAGAGAAACGAATAGAAATCGTAATTAACAAGGAAAACAAAAATAATGACGATAGCAGAAATCATCGTAAAGCAGAAAGACTAATCTGTCAATTTTACGTTAATCTAGAATTTAAGAACTTGTCTGAGACTGAATTTACAATGAAAAAATTCTTATCGGAAAATTACTTAATTTGACAGCAAATCTAAGATAATCTATATTATCAAAATTCTAATGATATATACTAAACTTATAGGGTATCCACAAAGATATCATGCCATTAGTGTGTCATAGAAACTGTTGGATACTTCAGTACCTTTGAATGCTTTATAGATTTTTATCATTTGATTACAAAATGATTCTAAATTTTTGATTTACTAACTTGTTGATAAATTTTTCATAGAATTCTATATAAAACTGGACAGGTACCTAGCCGGATGTCTGCAGTAAGTACCCATGTATTGAGATAATTTTCAGTAGGATACTCAATCAATATTCTGCGAGATACTGGCAGCAGGATAGACGAAAAGTTATCCCTGCTGACCACTAACTCAGTTCATAGGTACTTTGAATTCAGTACATTCAATTGAGCAGCATCTTGTGAAATAAATGAAAGTGAATGCGATATCCAGTTTGATTTGTTTTTTTATTAAATTGTACAATTGCATTAATGCCATTGTAGTGATACTCATGTCGAAACAAAAACTTGTTGTTTCAAATCCTTACAATTATAGTTAAAAAAATGTGTAGAAATTATATTTGACTCTTAGTTTAACATATCTTGAAATATTTCTCTAATTAAAAGATTATTTGTAATCAGTTACTGACATCAGTGATTAAATAATGATTTATCGACGATTTTTGAAAAATCATTTCTTATGCCATTATCATGATTTTCACAGTATCATGGTTAACAGGAAAAGAGAAGCAACATAATATAAGTCACTGAGAAATTTGGAGTACGATTCTCATACGATTGACATATTAATTATCTTTTCTAAGCTTTATTAAAATTTGTTGATTTTAGTTGTATACATCTGTATCTCCATAACCAATAAATTGAGTTAAGCGTTTTATTTATTTTGACAACCATTAATATGAAAACGTGTTTTTTTTTTATAAGAAATAAATGTTTCATTGACATAAAGTTTTTAATACTGTATTTTGTTCATCTACAAAATAATTCTTTAGTGTCTGTTCGAATTTGAAGTTCAATGCAATTCTGCTGAAATATATTTTCTGTCTAATCTCATCTCTCAGCACAAGCTGAATGTACCTGTTTGATATGACGAATTTTTTTTGTGTCTTGCTTTATTCGACGTGTTATTTAGCCATTCTAATCAAATTTTCGTACGAGTTCAACAATATCGAACCAGAAAATCGCATGAAATAATAGCATCGGTAATGTTGGGCATTTTATTTTCTCAGATTAAACTGCTATTGATTCAATTCATTGTTTTTATTCTTGAAGATATAATGTTAGGTAAATGGAAGAATTGTATTTTTGTAGAATAGAAAATTTTCAATCTTTCTTTTCTTTTTATTTTATGGAAACATTATAAACCAATCAAAAAGTAAACGCAATAAAACTGTCATACAATTGAATGAGTGGGTCTTAAATCGAGTTTCAACAAATCAGTGATATTATAATGAATACTGTTATGTTAAAATATAATATTTGAAAATACCATATAAACTTCATAGAATGAAAAAATTTTCGATTCAATCGAATTATCTTACTGATTGAAGAATAATGAATTTTTTTTGCATTATATTATTTAAAAACGTATATTGGCTACTTTTTCAAAACAGATCTTACAAAATCATTGAATATCATATTCATAAGATATTATAGTTTGTTTGAATAATATTTTCCATCATTTATGTAAATACTATCTTTCGTTCATAATATCGAAAGCCAATCACTTTCATGAATTGTATCTTTTGGTGAATTATGATTAATCAATTGATTATATTTTTACTATAAGAACCCGAGAAAAACGACAAAAAACAATATTGTAATATTATTAGGTGTGTGCATAGAACAAATAAAAAAAAACCTATTGATGATAATGTCTATTAATGGTGTTGGACAGTATACTCAATCATTGTTTCTTCTTACCGTATTACTTATATGTATAGTTTTAGTCGCAGCCAAAGATTATTATCAGATATTGAAAGTCAAACGAGATGCTAGTGATAGAGAGATCAAACGACAATTTCATAAACTTGGTATGAAAACTATTTTTTCGAGAGAATAAAGATTTTTTTGTAATTTTTATTATACTTAGCTTTGAAATATCATCCTGACAAAAATAAAGATCCAAAGGCAGAAATTACTTTTCGTTCCATTACTGAAGCATATGATGTTTTAAGTGACACCAATAGACGTCGTCTGTACGATGCTCAAGGTCATCAATTATTCAGATCATTTACAAGACAAGACGATAACAATTTTTCTAACTTTTATTTTAATTTGAATAACATTTTCGAACAATTCAGTGAGTCTATATCACAATTCGCACATACTTTTCAACAAGCATATGATCAATCTTATCAACAAACTGAAAAAAACTTTAACTTCAATTTCTTCTTTGACAACAAAGAACAAACAAACGAAGAGTTCGACTTTGATAATCTGTTTGACTTTAGTAAGTTCAACAGTGAAAATATGCAAGCATTCAAAACAAATGTTTTTCAAACAAACAATCAAAAACATTGTAAAATGGTGCCAAGAAGACAAGGAAACATAATAAACATTGTAAAAGAATGTATTTGATTTTTCATTTAGCTATTTTAATCAAGCTTGAGAGATTTATTTTGCTTCATTTTTAAAATAAATTTTTTACGCATTTCCCAACGCTGAGAAGTGAATTATTAACATTGATATATAATCACATTATAACTAATATCTTCACAAATAAATCCAACAGTTTAAAAGGTACATGTAACTGCACGTAAAACCCTACGTGTACAGATACGGTTCTCTTTCACATGGTATAAATATGAAAACGTCACAGAGTAAATTATATTTTTGTTTACACGCATCGAAACTTGCACATGTATACATATTATATTGCCGCATGAAAGAACATACAAATGTATTTGGTAAAAACAAATGTCGTTTGAGCATGCAATAAACTGCTAGAATGTTAAATTAAATGCAACACATGTAGCTACATGCCTGAAAAATTATGAACATGTTGCAGTCATTTTCTAATATAAGAACGGATGAGAGAGCTATTTTGTTTTAGAGGACAAACTTTCCACCACTTGACAATCTGCTTATACTAGTTGTGTAACTAAAATTGGAGGATCTAATTTTATCATTTGATAATGATGAGACATACTTGTACAGAAATGTGTAGAACTATTGAAAATTTTGAAAAATGAATCACTTTTTGAGTCAATATAGTACAGTTATTCAACGATAAGCTCTTTTTGGGAAACACGATCTAAAAAGAGTGTTGAGATATATAAGGTCGAAATTTGGATCCAATCTCCCCTTCACCTTCAGAGTCCATCGAGTTGGTCCCGAACTCGATTGGGTCTAGAACTAATCGTTTTGATTCGATGCGGTCAATCCCTTCCTCTTTTCTACAGACAGTGACAGCCCATCACAGACCGTGACTAATACTGGCTAGAGACCATCATAGGCCGAGACCGACGCCTTAGGAATGCATCTGCTTTTTCGTCACAGATTATGCAAGACATTAATGATATACAATCAAAGATTTTATATCAATAACGTCTCGTTCTAAGATATGATCTGCTTCCTTACTGCATTTCTGGATGACTAAGTAAAAAAATGGTGAGGACATTTGTCCCAAAATACATAGAAATAGGCAATCTATCTGTAATAAATACAAGCAACTAGATCGTATTTCGCGTTTTAATCTCAGAGATATTACGCTACAGCTTGTTAATATCAACAGCAAACAATCACACGTAGAACAAAAATCTAAATTTCTGAATGTGACAACATACGTACTGTAAGATAACACAAACTTGGATCTCAACGTAGAGTTATTTTAGTTAACGCTTTCATAAATACAATCTTTTTCTCCTGACATTCAAAATTGAGTGAAGTTCTTGCCATCTTACAAATGTACGCAACAAATACTTTGGCATTCATATGAAAGTCATATATCGTGCACGAAAACTCGAAAGTATCCTATGTAAGTGTCTGTAAGTGTATGAGTCTCGCATGTTTCACTTCGAAATGTAATAAATGATGTTTTTATGTGTGTGTTTGCGACATGCATCTTTTTTTCACATGCTATTGCCCTGCATTTGTACGCAGCAATTGCAAATATTTAAAATAACTTGAATGCTTGTACATCATATATATTAACTTTAAAAAATACCTTACAAGTGAACACTAGTTTCTGATAATTTCCAGTAATTACAGATGTTTGACTGTGTTACCAGTTAAGAAAGATTTATTAGTATTCTCTCTAGAAATAATATATTTATTAATTATTCAAAGAATATATATATTTTGTTTTTTTGAATTACAATTGCAAGAAATATTTTTTTTCTTTTTCTTTTTCATGTAATATTTATAGTTTATAGTTGAAGATCATCGTTATTATTTTTGTTCTTTTTATTTCTGTCAGAATCATCATCATCATCATCATTGGTATATTTAGGGTCTCGTCTGCGTTCACCACGTCGTCGAGTTGCTGGTTTATTGTCTCTATTATTTGGACTATTTCCACGACCTTTGTTTGTTCTATTGGTATCGAAAAATTCCTCTTCATTATCTTCGTCACTATTTTCATTTCGTCGTTGATTGGGTCTTCTATTTCGATGATTTCTATCTTCATGATGATGATGATGTTTACGACAATTTTTACAACCCGGATGATTATGTTTCATATGATGTTTGCAATGTGAATCATCCTTCGAATATTTATTTTTCTTCCAATGTTCGTGTTTTTTCATACATTTGTGCTTCTTTCCATGTTTTCTATTCCGATCTCGTGGTGATAATGATTCATCTGAATCATCAAGATTTTTATCATTTTCGGTATAAATTGGTCTTTTCTTATCTGGTACATTGTTACGGTTATTCTTTTTATTTGGAAAAGGATTTCGATGATCTTGATTGGTCTCAATAGAATCATCACGATTATTATTTTCTTTTTCATTTACATCGAAATTCTCATTTTCATCATTTGTTTTCAAAGTATCTTCACGTCGTTGGTTTTGTCCGCTTTTTTTGGCATTTATTCCTTTGAAAAGAAATGATAAAAAAATAATATTTATATAACAATATAACCTATTAACTCTTACAATTGCAACATAGAGTAGATACGATATTATGATTCAATCGTCTTCTTTTCTATCAGACTCCTTTTATACAATGTGCTCAATTTAATAAACAGCAGCTACAAAACGTTTATGGTTTTTTTTTTCGTTTGATTTGCTTAGAAAAATCAAATATGTATATTTCGAAAATGAAGTCACAATGAAAAAAAAAGTAGTTTTAAAAAGTCAATAACTGATTTTTACAAAGCTTTCATACCTGTTGATAATACCGATATCGATACGATTAATAGTAGTAAAAATAATAACGGAGAAGAGAAAAACTTCATAATAGACAAGTTTGATTTTATCGTATGTGTGCAGGAAAAGTGTTTTTTCAAACGTTTTAATACGAAGAGTATTACATGATATATAGTATCTTATTCTCTCTCTGTTATTTCATAATAAAAATATAATGATCCATGAAATATAAGAAGATAAGAAAGGTTATCGAAAATGACATTTCATTTGTTCTTTAGGGCATGAATGCATACAAAGTTACAGTTATATCGTGATAGTCATCTGAGTACTCTTTTTTCAAGTAAACAATACCAGATATGGTCACCGCCCAGATATTCACAATTCGAGAAAATTAAGTTGGAATCAGTGTCTAGAGCACCTATCAGGATCGTATGCCCCAGTGTTTCGAACCGTCTTCATTGAAGAATTCTTTAAATTTCTCGAAATCCACCTCAATTCCACTTGAATTTTCCATTTCTGGATAGTAGGCACTGCTGGACTTCATCATCTATTCTGAGACGAATGTCAATTAGTAGTTGTCAGTCGAAAAAGTTCTATCCATATGAGTGGATGATAGATTGTTTGGAGTTGTATTTTATTGAATATATCGATTGAAAATGATTTAATGATGTAGCACTGTCAACAAGCTCTGAATGTGAACATCATTTTAATCATTTGCGGCTATTGAAGACAGATTTATTAAGATCCATTCGGAAGATTGTACGGCTAATGAGAGAGGACATCTCTACTTTGGACACATTTTACTTGAATGTTTTTTACTGTATTGTCGAATGCATCATGCAAAGGATTTTCTCTTACGGCTCCCTTGATTATATTACTACCTATATTTCGTATACATCATTTAGAAAACGTTGGTAATAGTCTTTTAAGGGCATTAGCTATGAAAGATTCACGGTATTCGAGCGATTTCGAAACTACAAAAAAGTATCCAATGAATTACAAAACGAGTATGTACATAAAGAAAAATAAAAGTTTTGTTCCATGAAATTATATGAAAGATGAACAAAGAAGAATACTGATTAAAAAATCTATCGAACAAGAACAAGAGCAACTTGAAAATGCATTAACTGACTCTGAAAGTAAAGGTATGAAACATTATTCTTTATATATATCTTTGACATGTACTTGCAGATGGATTCAAGATGAAAATAGATTAACATAGTGGAAACACAATGTACAAGAAGCACTATCAATCGATAATAAATTTTCTCGTCTGAATGCATTATGCGTGATTGGTTTATATTCTCATTCATATTAAGATTATTAAATCGAAATAAAAAAGGATAAATCTCTTCAAAAAAGAAATCGAATGGAAGTTAAATGGCGTTTATCTTGATTTATTTCTGTTATTTAATACAGTTGTTTTCATTTTATGTTTACCGTCGTTACTTGAAGATCAACAAATGTCTACAAAATCTTTTCAATAAATTTTCCAATATTGAACAACGAGACCAATAAATAGTCTGTGAAGCATTGTGCCCTTATCTGAAATCAAATTTCACTTTTTCGTCAGTCCTGAAACAAATATCGAATAACTTCCTTGATTATGATAGAATAATCAATAATAAATCATTTGTCATGATGAAATATTTTCATGACGATTCAAATAAAAACATATTAAGTTCTCTTCTTGTTTCTAATCTTTATCTTGCAGAATTAGTTACTGACTGTCAAAAAATGATTTTCATAGATGATCATTCTTCCACCATATTGTATTCTAATCTGCCTACCGTTAATAAACCAATTGCATCCAGACTGTTGCAATTCAAAGGCTCATTTTAACAATCGCGCAAGTTTTCACTATCACAAATATTATTTTTTCGACGTATTCAATAGAATAATCAATACAATCAGAAAAGCTTAATGCTGTTTTAAACAATGCATTAGATAATTATGATTTTGTTTAATTTAAAGTCTATCGTGTGTTAGAGTCTTGAATGAAATGGAAATATTTAAATAAACTCTCACTATTTGCTTGGCATGCTACATTTATTCTAATTAATTATGATTTATGGTCTGTTGAAGCAGTTATAATTGTGTGTGATCTATTGTTTAATGAAAATGAATGCTTTCGTCATAGAGCTGAAACCATTTTGCAATCATAAAGCGACGACGAAATTCGAACAAGTTCAAAGTTGGATACAAATGTTTTAGTAACTTTAGTGCTAAAAAAAAGTTAATTATCAAATACATGTCATCATTTGTCACTTTTACTTTATGTCAAATGTTTGATACCTTAACTGTAGATATTAAATTCTATTTAGAAGAGCTTCTTTGCCTTGAAAGGTACAGAATTCATTTGTTGGCAAACAAAGAATTTTTCTTGATCAACCGAAGATAATCACCTTTTTCTTATATAGCTTCATATTTTCCAAATGATATAATGACTGATGCGTCTTTCTCTGATAAAAATAGATAGAATGTCGAACAATTTAGTACATTATATATGTACCTTAATCACAGTCAACTTTTTACCTTTCTTGAATATTGAAGATGATACAATATCGAATGGAGTTTTTGAAAGTCATTCTCTTTTTATTATTACAATTCTTATCTCTTTAATTTTTCGGATTCGTTACAATGATGAAGTACGACCATTGCTGATCGATACATTGATGACATTGTTTGAAACATCAAGAAATAATGAAGTTCATTGAAGGGTGACTCATACTCTAGATTATGTTTTTGACAAAAGCATATATAAAATTCTATTTGATATACTTCAGTTAGCGATGAACAACGACAAAAATAAAACATTTGACGAATATAATGATTCTCTAATCTCGTTGATTTCAAGTTATTGCTATCATTTATCAATTAATAATATTTAGGTGCGATAAAGATGATATGAGTGTGCATTTCGCAAATTGCTTAAACATTCTTCATCAAATGTTTTGGCAGCAGTACATTTTGGGCTCAGTCACGTTCCTCAGAATACTTCATTGTTATTTGAAATGCTTGATTCTGATTATATTCAGTGTTATCATGTAATGATCAAATTGACGGCATATACATTCATATATACGGTCCATTAAAACAGTGAAAACACTGTGACAATGTTCGTTGAAGAACATTTCAATCTTCTGTCAATGTTTGTAGTCAATTTATACAATAACATTCGTCACTTCACTAATGAAGTAGTACATGTTAAAACAATTTATTATTATTTAGCTTAGTCATATCTTTAATACGTAGAAGTTGCAAGCTGAATAGCTGTGCGAATACCTACAGCATTTTGTGCTTATGTTAAAGATTGACAAGATAATAGTAAACAACATAATTTTCCACAACGTGCTGCTTGCCTAAGTATTCTATCAATATCTGGTGGATTAACAATAGAACTATGTGAAATATTTATTGAAGCTTTAAGCGATGTTCCATATATACAAAAATACTTGTTATTAATGTTTGACATCTATTATTTCTAAAAAAAGATGAGAATACCGTTCTAAATAAGTTATTCCTCTATTTAAAATCGTAATTAATGAATGTTCGATATTTTACAGCTAAAATTCTCCTTCATCTTTCTAAATCTTCTCTTATTCCATCGAATCAAGCTTAAAAAGCATTGAATAATCTTATATTAGATCCTAGTTCAAACGAGAATCTTTGATTGATTAAAAATCAAGACGATATCTTGACACAATGTGCGTATTATTGTGCTAGACCATTGAAAGATGTTGATTATTCTCTTCTCATCGAACATATAACTGGACATGTAAATGAAACTATTCGGAGAAAAAAATTCAATGATATTGCTGCGAACTTTATCGAATCTGATTATATCATTAGTACTTATCAAATACGATTTTCAAATTGCGAAACTCAACATTTTCTATTGATTATTTTTAATGACAAAACCTTTTGAGAATTGTTCACTATAGAAAAGTAGAGAAATAAGTTTTTGATTGAAACGTCATTGAAATCATGAACAAGTGAATTCAAATGATTTTTTCTGCTCTTGATTGAAGAATAAATTACTTTCTGATTTCGAAAAGAGTTGCCAACATGCGACTATCATACATAATAGAAATTATATTCTTTGCAAGAAAAACTAATAAGCTAGAAATGAAATGACATGAGATTACACCTTATACACAACTCATCATGATTAACATTTTTGCTTTTAGTAGAGCTGGATTATGACAGCTATATAGTTGATCATACTGATGAGAAACAGATACGAATAAGAAAATTTCGATTCGATATTCGATTTTCCTAAGCCGAATCAAATTATTCGACATATCGATTTGGTTTTGGTCTCTGATATTTTCAGCAAAAGTTGCTATCATACTATAGGTTTTTATGATTTCTATGGCTGAGTCAAACTGGCTAATTAAACTAATGTATATACTACAACGCATGCAAACTAGATTACGACCAACTACCATCTATCAATTGCATTCTCAAATGTAAAAACCTTTGTGAACGTCGCACAAAACGAATCATTAAACTAATCTTAAATGAAGTCATATAAATAATTTGCATTATCTTAATATTCTTTGACTCTTACTCTGTCGTCATTTTTAGGTGAAAAGGAAACTTTGAAAAATAATTACATATTATGTCTATTTGTGTGATCAAGAATGATACACAACTGAACAGAAATCAGTAACCAAATGTTATACAGCTGATCGTCAGATTCATATTATTGTTTTCAAGAACAAGATAAAAGTGCAATTAATCCTGAATGCTATACAACAATCTGATGTAAGATACTCACTTGTAATTCAGTTGCTTGGTAATCCATCAACATGCGGGATAATTATCATGAATTTCAGTGTTACATTGAAACGTTATCTAAAAACATAATATTCATTGTCATTGAGCTGCTTGCAATCAATCATTAATTGAATACTTGTTGATCTAAGAACCTCATCATGCCACTTCGATATCCATCACAATTACTAATGAAAACAATTTGAGTGCTATCGGGATTTATCAGAACCATATACAGAAATGAAGTGTTCTAGTGAAACCATGTATGACATCTACAATAGTTTAAGAATAGACAGTTTTTTGTGATCAGTTGGTACTTAGGCTCATACCAGTAAGATAACTTTATTACATAGAATTTTGTGCTTTACATGGGATATGGATAGGCAAAAATGTAATCGACTTCATATCACCACATTCAGCTACAAATATCTTGCGGAGTGGTTGATGATACTATAATCCATAGATATTCTGTTCAAAATTCTCACATCAATTAAAAATCGTTTATTTGAAACAAAAAAGAAAAACCTAAATTGACAAAATACTGTCCTATGGTATGATGTGAACAAGTGATAACCAACGATTACTTTGTTGAAGAATGTGAAGATGAGGTACTAGATTAAATCACACAAACAAGTAAACAAGACTACTCGATACTACCGTAAAATAATTCAACTTGTTTTTGTTTTTGTTCAATATCATCGGCGATTTTGCAGCTATCTATCCAAGACTTTGTTGAAAATGACTCATAGAACATGACGTAATGATATTCACTACCCGTAGTTGTATTCGGTTTCCAAGATGGAAGTGGCTTTTTTTCTCGACGCCATGTTGACCCAATGTTCTATCATATCATCTAATAAATCTATCATTTATTGATCCCATGTACAGTCCGGTTCAGCTTTTGAAGCATAATTGCTGATTGGTTCAAATACGAAAGTAATATCTGATGTATGTCCACGTACACCCGGTAGTCGATCAGTTGGATACCTTGAATTGCAATCGAAGCGAAGTTAGTATAAATTTTGATAGCTTTTCTCGTACATGGCATTGAGTAATCGTCGGGTATTACAAAGCATGGAAAAATCAGGTAACAAATCAGTCACCACTTGACAATATTTTCTTGAAGACGAACATGATGATACTCTATAATGATCCAAAGTATCATCAAACCGTTCAGGAGACCAGCAGCTTCCAAAAGATTCTCTCCAGCGAAATCGACTGTCATCATTTACTCCATTTTCGGCTGCTGAGCACATAGTGGAAATACATCGGATAAAGTGTGACCAATAATGACTCCGATGTTCTTCACATAGATTAGCTTTTCGATGGCCACGGATGGATAATATGGAATGAAATAATCATCGATGACTGTCGAGACGCGATCCACCGGCTCTTGCAAATATATTTCAAGTAGATGCTGAACGTTCATATTCCGCAAACAATTCATTGTGCTACAGCCAACACGTTCTGAGACTTGACGACCAATGTGATCATCAGTTATTCGACTGACATACATATTCCATAAGAGTGGCACACCTAATTGAGAGATGATATGATGAGAGAGTTCATCCTAGCCTCGATATGCTCCCAGATCAACTACAAAATTATCACCAGCACTTTGACCGAAAATAGTTACTCTTGATGAGTCACCACCGAACTTAGTAATATTCCTTTGCATCCATCAAAGTGCTGATTGTATATCAAGAAGATTGTAATTATCCGATGTTTGTTGTTCTTGTTGGTTTTCACGAGCTATTTTTTCGAAAAACAATATACCGAAAACACAGAGACGGTAATTGATAGTAAGTATCACAACATCATGCCCGCGAGCGATCATGTTGGTGGCATTATACAAGTGAGGAATACTTTGAGATGAACAACTGAATAGATTTTCGTCACCATGAACCCACACAAATACTGGAAAACGATGATCTTTTGTGACGTTAAGTGAAGCAAAGATATTCAGATACAGACATTCTTCATCATATCGTTGTTTAGAGTCGAGATTGAGTTGCGGACAACATGGGCCGAATTCTGTAGCATCAAATGGTTTATTCAAATAAGATAAATCAACAAGTGGTTTACAATGCTCGGCTGTCGCATACTGAATCCTAGAATGAATGATTAAATGTTACCTTATGAATTGGTTTTATAATTGATTCTACAGATTACGGTTAAGTGTTATTTGCATCCGTCACAAAGTGTTTCAACAGAAAACGTATTATCTGAGCCATTACTCATGTAAATAACAGCATCACTGACATTTTTCAAGTCAAATAGTTTTTCCCAGTGAAATTACTAATGATGATTCCTATTGATTAACTTTAATTTCATAGGAAACTCAAAAAGAATATATCAAGTCAAGAACTACGACACACGAACATATTAGAAGAAACTATTTAAATTGTTTGAAAATAATCATTATCCAAGATATTCGACTGAAAATTGCATGAACCGATCGGAAATAATGTTATCTCGTGTACATATGATAGATTTGAATAAGAAATAGAAGATGACGAATAAACAAGTAGAAATGAATACCGCATTCATATTCTAATCGCCAGTTAATAAATTTATAAGTCGAAAAAATGCACATTAACATTTGATAAAGGCTTGTGGTCTATTATATTCTGCCATTATTAATAAAGGCTAATAGATTGAGATTCAGTCTAACAAGACCTTGTTAAATAAGAGGAATATTTATTCTCATAGATGTCATAATACCATTACACTGGGTATTGACAGTTAAACTTCAGGATGCTCAACAGAATAATCAAGTGAATTCAGTTTTACACCACACAACTAACGAGGAGAAGTAATGACTTCATTACACAGACGTAAACTATAACGTCATTACACTTGAGGTAATACACCAAAAGCATTCAAAACCCTCAACTTTTATAGTATGCAGTTATTTTTTTTAGATGAATAATGTCATTACCCTCAGGGTAATACCCCGAAGAGAAGAGATTTTTCTTGTGGTGCGAAGATGTATTGTGTTACTGGAAGAAATGAAGTGATTACTTCTTGAACCGGTAGCCATTTGATACAAGTGAATACGCTTCAGTTGAATATCCTATTAGTTTTCGTGTTGTGAGAATGTGAATAACTGGTGTAACGAGATATTGACATCACTCGTAAATGTCGAAATTTGGTCAGTCACTTCTACTTTGCAAAAATTTGCCTTTTCTCGATATGTCATACAGAAGCATTTTTCGTTACTCACCTCGAATCACCGAAGGCTTTCTAGATAATCAGTAACGAATAAGTGAATGGATGTGTTTTGTCATTTTTGGGATCGTTGGGCGAAAAACACCTACACAGACTGAATTCCCAACACAGTAGTTGACTGAAACTTTTTATGCAGTCTCACGGCAAAATGACCTTTGTTCTGTTCTCTTGTATCCGGCTGCGATTCAATTGGGATTCTTCATCTTGAATCTATACATGGAGAAATTAGAGGAAGATGAGAATAATGACAAGAAGAAAAAAGTCGACGGCACCATAAGACATTGTTAAAGTGGAAGAGATACGAAAATAAAGAGATAGACCAATGAAACTGTGCTCTTCTTGATTATTCTATCCAACACGAAGTATCACAGCTTTGAACAAGCAAAAACTTTTAGATTATCAATCATAAGATTTCACATTAGGAACGGGTATTTATAATACACGACTTGGTTCTTTAGGAGAAGG